CTCCCACTGCCTGCCAGTTGCTGTCCCCGGTCAATGGGGGCGGCAGTACGTGGGGCGGGAAGGGGGATGTGCTGCCTGCCATCCCCATTGGCCTGGAGCGGCAAACCATGCCCAGTGGGAGCTGTGATCGGCTGAACCTGAGGACACCGCAGGTAAACAAACCGGCCCAGCCTGCCGGGATGCTTACCCTGGCGAGCTGCATGCCAAAGTTTGCCGATCCCTGAGCTAAAATATTTAAGAGAAGTCAGTTTAAAATATACTGGTGCAAGAACAAAGTAACATCACTTCACATCATTACACAGCTTCCAGGTGCTGGAGGCTGTGATCCCTGTTGTTAACATGGTTATTGGTCTGAAATCTCCCCATGGCCAGTCAGGGACAGACACGTACCTGTGTTGCTCCCCAGCCGCCGTCGCAGAGTCTCTAGGGGAAGGAGAAGATGGGAGAGGTGAGAATTCAGGCCCTCGCATTCATGGAAAAATCCCCATTGCTTATTAATGTAATTGCTGTTAACTACGAGACGGTGACAGAGATCAGAGACCGATAACGCAGCTGCTGCAGACAAAGCCAGCCCCACAGGGCTGCTTCATGGGGAAGGGCGACTCGCTGAGCTTGGCAGTGAGATGGAGCCGAGGATCAGTGACATCACTAGAGTCCCTGACTCCTCCCAAGGGCGAGGGTCACTCTAACCAGAGGAGATGCCACCTCCAGACTCCAATTCACCTTTGAATCCCAGCAGCACCTCCTGCAGGATGGCACTATTCAGAGAGAAATCTCTGAGTCTCTTCTCCAGCTCCACAAACCCGGGCTCTGGTTTCCAAAACATCCCGTTCTCCCTGCTGGGGAAAGGAGGGGTGAGAAATAGGCCTGATCCCCAGACCCTGAGCCCAGCAACCCCCAAGCTCCAGGAAACCTGGATCTGAGCTTTGTAGCCTGAGATGGTCATTATCATGATGAGTCACCTGCCCTCAACCCTGTGCTCCCCAGAGAGATGGGAAGTGGGGAGATACTAGAGCAAGGAATGGAGACATTGTTCAGGATCTTTCTCAGGGATGCTCTGGTTCTGTGGGGGGCAGAGCCACCCCCTATGCTAGTTTACTGCAGTAGCAAGTGGTACCAGCACTGGGATTATGTGGAAAGAGAGGAGACACAGACCAAAGAGTGGATAGGTCCTACATGCTGACAGTGGCCACAGACAGAGCCCAGGTCTCCAAGAGGGAATGAACGTGGGCCCATAAACACCAAAAACCCTGAACCATTCAGCTGAAGCCATAACCCTGGGGCGTTCAGCTCTTTTGGCAGAGGGCCATTTTGCACTGTCTGTTATGGTCAGTGGCCCAAGGCATTATTTTAGGAGACCTTGCTCTATTCACAGCAGAACACTCACTGCTCTACATAGGACATCCATGTACAAGGAACAAGGGGAGAATCTGCCCTTCATATCGGAAATAAAATTTTAGCTCTCATTATTTTGCCAA